GTTTGATCCCGGGCCCCTTCTGCAGAGGTGCCCCCGCGCCCAGCACACACGCATCCAGCTGGTGTCCGGCATTTGAGATAAAGCTACAAACAGAACATTGTGAAGAGGATTTCCCTCTTGTTAAAACCTGCTCCTCTGAGGTGCCGTTCCCAGCGTGACCAGTAACCCTGTGCCTTTTAAGTTTTTTCCGACTCAGGTACAACCGAACGTGTCGGCACGCTTGGGAGACCTCCTAAACGCCTTAATGCAATTTTGGTAGCCAAAATCCAAGCGAAAACACCAGCAAGCTGGACACACCTATTATTTTCTTCAGCTGCTTTGAAAAATCACAGCAAGCAATGCTGCAAACGAAAAGCACTGAGTAATGGGGTATTCTGCAAGGAAAAAAACACCCTATCCAGCCTATTCCAGCTCCAAAAGAATATACACGCAGTTTTTCAGCCAGTGCTTGTAAAAACGAAGACTCTTGCCGCTGACAGGGCCGAGGGGATGATGTGAACTGCGTGGTTTATTTCTGCTGCGATAGCACCCCCGTGAGCCAGGCCCCACCATGCAAGTGTTGACGTGCTGGAGACGCACGTCTGGGAACCTCTCACGGGTAGTTTTTGCCCTCGCCATCACTTGTACGTCTCCATCGCTGCGAGCTTTGGGGCAGACTCTTGTCTCACTGAGCTTTCTGATCTGGACCACCACCAAGTTACAGCTCTTCCCTCTCCTCCAGCCACAGTAACTGCACCGGTACCTCCCCGACTGCAGAGGACAGAAATAAATCCATCTTTGCACAAGCTTCTGCCCCTTACCTTAAAGTGGCTGCACTGTCCTGCCAGCGGTTTGGACAGAATCACTACATTGCTACGAACAGCAGAGGAAGCTGTTGTTAGCCAGACAGAAAAGTAGATAGATCTCTCTTTAATTATTTTTTTCCAGAAAGTTCCGGAGTCTGTCCCTTTCAAACACAAACCAAAGGAAGAATAGAGAACTTAAAATAATTCTGTACCAAGCAGCTTATTGCATGGCGTAGTGCCAGTTCAAAATGAGCTCTTTTGCTGCTGTTTATCAAATCCTGAAGCTAACCTATTTTATCTAGTGCTATCAAAACCTGTAAGCTGTAAATATTATCAAGTCAATTATATCCTGATGTTTCACACTAGTAAAAGTCTTACAGCAGGTCCGCATGAACAGCCCTGTGCAGACCGTGCGGTCGGGCGCAGCTTTATTTGTGCAAGAGATGGACCTGCCCCCTTCTCCTTACCATGAAAACTTGCTTTGATGAGGCCTCTGCAGCTGACACCATCAGTGTGCCCCAAAAGCGAGAGGTTTCTGCTGCGAGACGGCAACTGCAAGGGGCAGAGAGGGGTCTGTTACGCAAAGAGCACCTTCTCCCCCCTGTGTGAAGCAGCCTTTGCAGACACGGAATTCAGCCTTTTAGACTAGGTGATTGAACAATTATAAGAAAACAACTGGTTGAGACATCCTGCCTCCCCATTTAACACTCTGCTTTAAATCATACTGGTAAAAAAAAAAAATTAAAAAAAAAAAAGACATAAAACCCCACAACAGACATAACACTGCTGCCCTCCCGAAGAGTTCCCGCTCTCCTATGGCTCTGTGCTCTCCTGCCCCACGCTCATCCGTTGAGAAATATTTTTCACATGCAATGGAAAAATAATTCCATCGATAGCAATAACTACATTTTTCAACAGAACCCTGTGCAGGAATACCCCTACCCTGAAGGTTCACTCATTTTTTTTCTCTGAATAGACTGTGTTTGCCTGCCTTTACTACCAAAGGCCAGCAAGGAGCAGGGTCAGCACTCCCCTTTTCCTACCTCAGCAGATGAGCAATAAGATGCGTAATGGAAGGATTAATCTGTACAAGAAGCTTTGCAGTGCAGCGTGCTCTATTCCTCTTGGACAGGCTGGAGGTAAATCTCATTTTTCCTCCCACACAGGGTATGTGCCAGCTTTCAAGTTTTAGTAACTTTCTTTGGTGCAGCCAGCAAAGGCAAACCGTCCAATGGAGTGAGTCTTCCAGCAAAGTACAACCAGCTCTGGCAATAGACACTGCTATTTAGCTGCATTCAGCAATAACATTATTTAAGACAAGCAGTACAAGTTCTGCCCTATCGGCTCTCAACCTCTAACCCAAGGCTTAGGAAGTAACATTAAAATAAGGTGTGTTAAATACTACCCTACTATACAGGCAAACAATTTGTAATCATGAGAGGCATGGTCTAGAACACAAATAGGAGCAGAATTCACCCCAAACATCACAGATACCCGAGGAGCCACTTGCTTCGCAACCTCTAAGGTTCTATAGGTGTTTCCTACCTTCGGTCAGCATGGGGCAGGGAAGAGAAAGAAGAGGACAGGATTAAATTTCAAATTGAGCCAAGGTCACAAGTATCCATGATGGAACTTGGCTAAGACAGATGATCCTCTCTGCTGTTGTCTTTTATAATAATTTCTACCTTCTTTCTTCTCTCAAAAATAGTATTTAAATTAAAAAAAAAAAAGGGAAGTCTGTTTTTCACTTCAAGATGAAAATACTTCGTTGGGTTCTCAGAAGTGAACTGACACCTTTTTTGGCTGGAACATGCAGTTACATACTGACTGCACAGCAGAAATGCAGTGCGCTGGCAACCACAATCCCAGAGTCAAGGGTTTCATTGCCAAGTCCTTGTGCATAGAGCCGCTTCTGCCACCACACCTCAAACGCTGTCTCCATGTCCATCTCCAGCTTCAAATGCCAAAACCATGACAACGAGACACAAGACACTTTTGTCTAAAAGAACACTTGTGTGTTTTGTGCTGTTTGTTATGGAAATGGATTATTATTTCTCCTAAAACTTTTTTTTTTTCCAGTGAAATGACCTAACTACAGAGCCAGATTAGCTGAATCCTGTCTTTACAACACCTCCTGAAGCTATACATTTGCTTGTGAGGGACATCAGGAAGTAATAATTTACATAAATATATTTTAAAATAGAGTAAAATTATTGCATATTGGTTTCATTTCTGGACAGTATTTATCTACCATGGGTGACTTACGACTTTAGTACCAAGATTAGAAATAGCCTTTCATAGTCTGCTTTGATTAATTATGCTTTTTTAATCTCAAAGATACTCACATATGCCTTTGAAGCCTGAAATAGTTTTAGCAATTCTAACGGAAATGTCATCATCTGTTCAACCTATGCCTGAGAAAACTTAGGCAGAGGCCCCACCTGTAACACGAATGTTTGCCTGCTGATTGAACAAACTGAAAAATTCCTCAACCATCTCTAGTTTGGCTCAGTCACGAGAGGTTAAGTAGTCTTTCAGTTAATTCAGTCTAATGTCTACATCAATACTGCAGAATGCAGGAGCAAAAAAAGTTTTGAATACCATAGGTCTATCACTTCCAGCTCCAATAGCTTTTGTTTTCACCCCTTTACGAAACTGTTTCATTCTAACAACTGGTCAGCAGAGCCAAGCAGAGTTCAGTGCAAAATGTCTATTCCAGGTTTAATGGTAACACAGACACAGCCAAGGCCAGCACTCTTCTCTACACAATTGCTCCGTATTTAGCTTTTTTGAAAAAATTACATACTTCTATATCCCTTTGAAACCATGCTGGCTGGTAGGCAAGTATTTTTTGGCTAGATAGCAAGCAAGCATTTACTTTCTTCTTACAGGTATAGCAACCAGAAAAATCTTTCTGTATTTGCAGGAATTGCTCCTTCATGCTACAGACCAGAAAAATCTGAGACACTGAACTAAAGCTTCTAGCAGCCACAGATTTCAGCCAAGGGGCATGAGAACCACTCTGCATTTGCTTGAAGCCACCAGCCTCTCAGCTTCCCCACAATGATTCTGACAGCAGGAATTCAAAGTGAGGTAGCTTACCAAGAGCCATACTACTGATTCCAAATTTCTTATTAAAAACACCAAAAAGAGAGGAGACTATCTTTCCACAGGATAACTCATCTCAGTTAGAAGAATATTTTCACTGAAGTTCTCCAAATTGTGATTGTTTCTTTTCCAGTGGTGAGGTCTGCAGTCTTTCATTAAATTTCATGTCATCTATCAAAGTATAATTATAGCTCATTATGCTTTTTCATTCTTACTTCTCATATGTAAATCCCATTTGGACTGAAAAGCATCCAGCACTGAATTAAGAGCGTTTTTCCTGTATACAGATACTCCCAATACTCTTAAAAGCAGCAGTCGGTGGTAAAGTTTTTATTCTTGTTCAAAAGACAGCATTATCTGCAGAACTGAATTCCAATTTCATACTTAGAATTGACTCAATTGAGACCCAAAAAAGGGTGCCGTTTAGCAATTCGCTAACATATTTCCTGCAGCACTTAATTCTTCTCCCAGACATTCTTTGTGTTAAACTACCATGGAATTTCTCAGTACTTCATATATATAAAACTGTTCTTCAGAACAATCCTACTGCAAACTTAATGATGGACACAGCAGGATTTATTTAGATTTTATGGCCTAGGACTGCTGAGCAAAACTATGCAAAAAGAACATACACACTTACATTAACTGGGACAACGGTTATGACCTTTATGCTTTATGGTCAGGAAAGCATCTGGGAAGATCAGTGGAAAAATAATTAAAGCACATTTTTGAGAGGGCATATCACTTCTGAAGCATAGGGTAGTGCTCCCTGTCTGCATGAGAACATGGCATGAATTCACATATTCTCACAAGGATCGGGGTTACAGAACTTCACGTATTTCTGTGTAGCAAGTCCATTTTCTTGAAGCAGCTTGAGGTACTCAGCTTGAAAAAGCACAAGGTTATGCTCTTCCTACCTAGCCAGTATCAGCATTTAAAATTTTCAAGATTCAAAATAGGTGGATTCAAGAAGACAGTGTGCCTACTCACTGGTAATGTACATTCTAGCAGTTCAGAAATCTCACCACCAGATATTTAGGGCAATAGCCTATCATTCTGTGCCACAAACATACTTGAAGTTACAAGAAAATTATGTCAAAAATCTTGTTCTTTAAGAATTATTTTAATGAACCAAACATGAAGTGACATAAACACAGACCAAGGAAGATAACATGAAACCAGCCCCACCAGTTGCTGACAGAAGGTAAAGATAGAAGAATAGTTGAGGATGACTTGAGGGAAAACAAGAAAGCATAGTGAGAGATACTCATTCTTGCCAAGAATGTCAACCAAATCGTATAGTAGTTAAAATTTCATGTCAAGTGCTTAAATAAGGTCTCTACTTTGTTTCTTAACACAGCGAGTCCAAAGAAGAGTAGGGAACAGGCTATCCCTGAATTCATGGCAACAGGTCCTATAGAGTGTATTCCAACTTTCTCCAAATAATGGAGATGAAGGTGGCTAAAAAGAAAGAGAAAAAGAGGAAGTGAGGACCCTTTGTTACCCAGCCTGGTCTCAAATGGAATGTGTTTTCCAGACCCCACAATCTTTGGCATAGGTTCCTTTTTCAATGTCTGCGCGAATGCTTTAATCCCATGACAGTGAAGGTTGCAGCAGTCAGTTTCTCATACACTAGGAACATAAGAGCAGCAGTAAGGACCGTCTGCAGGAGCTTTGCTTCAAGGCCCTTGTAGAGTCCCATTAATCCAAAACGCCTAAGGAAAAAAAAAACAAACAAGAAAACAAGCGTGAATACTCTTCTGTAAGTAAATAGGTATACTGCAAGTATCACAAGTTAATGACAACTGTAAGAATCTTGAAGTCATTCTTGATTTCTTGAGTGCCAGCTATGTTTAATAATATTTTAAAGAGAAAACTCTACAGAAAGTTAAGTCTTTTGTGCAAGAAACTTGCTTCTTTTCAAGACGAGAGGTGAATGAATTAGTATTCATCGATATCCTCGATACCACTTACTGTACAGGTATTGAGGAGAATTTGGTTTTGTGTACTTATTCCGCAATATATTACAAAAACCAGGTTGACTCAAATAGCAAGTTTACAGCAGGCAAAAAGAAACAAAAGTCAAATCCAGCAACATTTTTAACGTATTAGTAATACTCAAGTCTTCTATATCATGTTAGGAAAAAACCCAGAAAGCTCACCTCACTCTCTGTTGAAGAAGGTAAAGAACATTTCTAAGACTGCCTAGTGTTCGGTTCTCTGGGTTCAACCTGTGGCGTCCAAACTGAAAAAAAAAGGAAGAGCATTTTGTTGTACTATTTCCCCATGGCACGAGGCAGAGAACCCAACATATGCATAATATCTGGAGAGCCTATCTTAAACCTCTTTTAACATTTTCCAGGTTATACTAGCCATCAGTGAAGAACTGAGGCTAGAGCTCACACTATTGAACTTTACAGAGCAGGGCATTAAAACAGTATGTGCTACAATAATTTGTTTGTGTTTAAGATAGATTCCAAGAAAGTGTTACACACGGCCATACTTGCTCTCTTTTAGTTGCTCTGGAGGAAAGTTTTCACAATCTCCAAAGCATAATTTGCAGAGTCTTAGTAGGCATATGACATTCAAAGCAAGTTCTTTCTGACTTGCTCAGCTTTCATTTAACAAATCTTTACATTGAGGTTGCATAGTTAAACCCAAAATTTATCTGCCCAGCAACGGTCTTGGAGCAAAACATTTACATATTAACTGCTGTGGAAGAATCCAAAATTGATCCACCTACCTGGCCTAAATAATACTTCTCTCTCACTTACTGTGTTGGCTTATCCCCAAACAGTTTTTCAGCAGGCAAGATAGCTGCTGCTGTAATTTTATGTCTTGGAATTAAACTAGCAATTTCAGCAACTCCTTTTCTAGCATTCATCAATACTCTTATCTGATACAGGTCAATAGTACTGTCAGCAAGCCATAACTATGAATTATTAATATACAAGGGTTGCCACACTTCTATTTATAATAACATAGCCAAATAGCTTTTGAAGCCTGTATTATGCTCTGTGCCAAGAAAGGTGAACTTGAGCAACTGCCTGTGGATGAGTTTCTCCCAGAACTTACTCAGGCAACTGCTACTTCTTAGGCATAAATTACCCTTGACAGTAGGTAGATTATGCAAGCAGATTTAGGCAGTTCAGAAATTCTAAAAAAATGCCAGGATGACACAGGTCCCTTGCTGTATGTCTTAAGAACTCAGATCGAAACAGCAGCAACAGAACACTACTGGAAATCTCTCTTTATTAGGCAAATATGTGCTCACAATCCACGATCTTCTCATCAGCAACTAATTTGATATTGATAAATCAATGTTAAGGATTATTGTCAAAGACTCAGACACCCCCCCAAAAAATTGCTAACTAGGTTCCAAGTTACAACTCCAGCTGCTGTCCAGATTACTCATAGGCTTCCAAACCACACCAGGATTAGGTGCTTCCTTCTCCTCTCTTCTCCACCATCGGACTGTTTTTGTACTGCAAACAAAGGCTCAAACAAAGACAGAAAAAAAAGTTCATTTCTCCCTAAGACATCAATACTTCACTGATTACTGCAGAAGATTACCCAAAGGAACTAGCGTTCTCTACGCTAGAGGAAAGAGGCTCGAGTTTTAAAGAGAACTTTTTCACCCAGGATCACTAAGAACATTAACAGTATTGCTATTTCTCCAGAGGCAATTTTAATTTATCCACTGTTTACCGACACGTAGGCTAAAGAATAGTTTTACTGCATAATAAGTAGCACCCATGCCATGTATTTTTAATGACTGAAAAGGAAATAGACATCCCAAATGGCAAGGCTGGAAGTTGCTTACTGCTATCAATTACACAGGATAACTGTTCATTATATGGAAGCAAGATAAGCGCTTTGCCAAAAAGTTGAAAGCAAAGGTGTAGAGACTTCATTATGAAGAACCCTAACTTTCAAAAAATAGTAAATTTCTAAAGGTTTAAGGTTCAAAAGAGTCCTGTACTTCTACTCTAACAATAGACCTTAATTATGATAAGTTTTTATGAACTATATTGAGATTGTATTAGCTTGTGTGTAAATCTGCTAAAATTGTTTCAAAAAACCCCCACAACTATACAAAGTATACTTAATGCAGAATGTTATTTCTGAAAATACTAAACCTTTATTCATAACTGTTTCTTTAAACATCACATTACGAAGTAGTGCAAGTCTGAACTGGACAGCACAGGTACCCCAGATGCCTGTTTCTGCTGTTCTTGCCAGAAATGTTCAGGGTTTCTGGCTATTACTTCTTTCATAGAGCAAAGGGAAAGAAGTCACCACTAGTGACTGCAGAACTAGAGCTAGGGTCTTTGTATTCCCCATCATCACAGGGAGAGGATGGACCGGCACTGAGAAGTAGAATACAGGTCACTTTATTTCACAGTGGGCCACTGTGAGAAAAATCCCACCACCACTGGGACACTGATGGCTAGCTGTGCTCCAGCAGAAAGGCAACTCACCACTGCTCTGGCAAGCCAGCAGCGAGCTAGGTGACTTCAGCTGAGGTGAGCAGTAAGCAGCAGCTGGTTAGTACATCAAGCTAGCAGCACAACTTACCAGAGCTGCCGTTTTTTAAAAGAATGACACTGTCACCAAAAGACAGAAAAATTTTGTTCAAAAAGCCGAAAGGAGATAGACAAAACATGAAGTAATAGTTCAAGATTGTAACCATTTCTATAGCAACCATGGAAAGGACCGAGGGTTGAAGCTGTTCTATTGATGTAGCCCCAGGAAAATGGCACTGCTGTGCAATGCTAAGGCTAAAAGAGAGCACTTCAACTTTCCTTCCAGTTCTCCTTCACACAGCAGAAAATGCATCACAAATTAAAAAGACTGATGTTGCAACTTATCCAAAGAAAGCTATATTTGCTTAATTTTTTTTTCCTGTATCTGTCACTTCAGCAATAGAAGTCTGCGTTACTATAACTCATGAGATGGGTAAGTCCAGGCTGTTAAAACAGGGTAAGACATCGAATGAAGGCACTAGCTCAGCTGATCACAAAAATTTATGAAAACTTCAGAAAAGATGACTGCTGACAAAAACTACAATGTGGCTGACACATCTACAATGCTGTGCTGGTTTTGGCTGGGACAGAGTTAATTTTCTTCACAGTAGCTGGTATGGGTCTATGTTTTGGATTTGTGCTGAAAACAGTGTTGACCACACAGGGATGTTTTTGTTACCGCTGAGCAGTGCTTACACAGAGTCAAAGCCATTTCTGCTCCTCATGCTGCCCCACCAGCGAGTAGGCTGGAGGGGCACAAGGAGTTGGGAGGGGACACAGCCAGGACAGCTGACCCAAACCGACCCGAGGGACATTCCAGACCACATGACATCATGCTCAGCATATAAAGGTGGGGGAAGAAAAAGGAAGGGAGTATGTTTGGAGTGATGGCGTTTGTCTTCCCAAGTCACCCTTACATGTGATGGAGCCCTGCTTTCCTGGAGATGGCTGAACACCCGCTTGCCCATGGGAAGTGGTGAATGAATTCCCTGTTTTGCTTTGCTTGCTTGTGCAGCTTTTGCTTTACCTATTAAACTGTCTTTATCTCAACCCATGAGTTTTCTCACTTTTACCCTTCCGATTCTCTCTGCCATCCCATTGCAGGGGAGTGAGCGAGCAGCTGTATGGGGCTTAGCTGCTGGCTGGGGTTAAACCACAACAAATGCAGATGCCATTCTGTGCACCATGAGGTTGGTGAAGTAGAAAGCTGTGCAGACAGAAAATTGTCTAGTGTCTTTTCAGGGTAGCAGCAACCACACAGTAAGTATATTCAAGTCCTGTTGGTCTGAAATATGGTATCCAAACTATCTTTTTACAGGCTACCAAAAATCAATACATTTAGTACACTCTAATTAGAGAAGAAAAACTAAAATAATTACAAAATTTGCATGAAAATCACTTTTTCCAGATGAACAATTAACAAGAAAAACCCCGTATTAGACAAGTCTGAAAAGTGATACCCTTAACATGGAAGGCTCACGTTCAATAAATTCAGCTAATTCTCCAAATTTATACAAGTTTTAGAACATATACAACAGCTTTACCATACATGTAAGTTAGGGCTTCTCCTTGCTTAGGAAAATAGCATTGTATTTCATGTGGAAACATATATTAATATTTAACTGTTATAAAAATCATCAAGCAACAGCTTACAAAAATAAATTAACAAGCAGAGAAATTAGAGTACAATATGCTTGCTTATGTATGGCCAGGTCTCTTCCCCACCCCCAACTTTGTCTTGTTTCAATATTACAACAACATTGGTACATACTGAAGATAGCAGCATTATCCAGCATACACACAAATTGCAAGTGAGAATAAATGCAAGTGTTTCCATTACCACTACAATTACCGTACAAGGCTGGGCAAGTGGTTAAAGATATTATTTACGAGGGAGCTCAGCTTCCCCTGATGAATCCCATTCTGGCTACTGACAAGGTCAGGCCATCATCTGAATAAAACAAAACCTATGAATAGAACTTTTTCTGGATTACCCTAGGTCTTCTGGGAACAAACTGGGTTTAGAGGATTTAATTTTAACTTCCCACTTGACACATTTTCTATTTATATTCAAAGAAGTAAATCTACATTTTTGTAGTGCCTAAAAGCAGTATGGCGCATCAGCTTCCGTGAGACACTGTATCTGTGCATTATGTTGTCAATCCTACCAGCTACTTGAAACAAATGTGCACCAGTAACACCAAGTTCCATCAGACCCTGTCAGTACAGGATCAAAGAAGAGAGGCATCATTATCAGTGACCTGCATTGTGCAAAAGGAGCTCCCAAAATGATGGGTTCATTAACACAAAGGAAAATGAGCCATTTGAACAAGGCTTGCATTGTACAGAACAACTCAGAGGCAGTTACCCTGAAATGAAATTATTACTTACCCGCAGAATTGACTGTATTGTCTGCAGAGGATAAGTGAGGGTGGTGGCAACTGCTTTGGCTATTGCACCAATGACAAAAGCATCCAAAGATGTGAGCTATTCAACAGATAAAGAACACATTACTTCCACATAGTACCAGAACAGCCAGTTACCCATATGTGTTTGGGGATTTTGTACCGGTACCTCCCTTCTGGGTTATCTAAGTATCTTTGGCATAAAGATTTCATGAAGTCTCTGGGTTTTCTCATTTTAAAGAGTTAGTTATAGTTCAAACAACTCAGTTCCCGCAAGTAAAGTTCATTTGTAACTTCTACATGCTCACAAGCTTTTGCATTTCTCACTATAACTAGGTTACTAAAACATCATGAAGATAAAGCCATACAACTAGACCAATTTAAAGCACTGACAGCAGACAAAAGATAGCGAAGTAGCATTTAAACATACCATCAATCAATAAGCATTTCAGCTTTTGCAACATTTAAACTAACAAGTCACACAGCACTCGTGAAAAGGTGACAGTGAAAGATTCCTTGAACATCACCCTATAATCCTGAGACATAATCACTACACTATCAGGCAGAATTTTAGTCTTGATGACACAGGCTAAATCTCATCCCCTATTAGTTAAAAACACCTGCTGGTAGCCCATCCCCACCTCCAAAGCCCACACTGGTCTACGATGCACCAAATAGATTGTTATAGCCTAAGCTGATTACAGTGCGTCTCAGTTTAACAGTGTGAATTAATCACTGAAAATAAGCAGGTGCCCATATCAAAACTCCAAATTTGCAAAATATGTTGATTGCAATCAGAAATATGCACACACATGCACATCTTAAAATAGTCAATCTGGAAAAGATCAAATAGAAAGAAAAATGTTGTCCAGAATAAAAATGACCATTGCTAGGGGAAAAAAGTATTTTCCCTCTCTGATGATCATGGACAAAACATGCCCTAATTTAAGCTAGAACTAAGTAATTTAAAAGAAACACAAGAAATAAATATAGCAATTAGTCAACAGGCAAATAACAATGCAGAGGGAAGCTCAGCTCATCACTCAAAAAATGTATTGTCCATAATGTAACTGGACAGATCCATCAGGCACAAATAGAGTGCTACAGCTGCAGTATTGCCTAAGGATGGTAAAAACCCCAAGCCTCATTTATGAAGCAAAATCTCACATAAAAATAATTTCACTATGTCTTGAGGAAAAACAAGACGGCTTTGTAACTTATTGATATGATCTAACATTTTAATACAGCCAAATACGTTCTAAAGTCACAAATTAACAGCAAAGAACTGCACCTTAAACACATAATACATTATGATATTATCCTAAAATGCAACAGAAATGCTCTTCAATTTTCTAGAACATAAAAGGAATGTGAGTTCAGGTGAGCTGCTATATCTGATATAGAGAAAAAAGAATAAAGAAAAAGACAAGGACTATAAAGCAGGGACAGAAGAATTATTCTATCTCTATTTAAAGAATCAGGGAGGCATGGCTGCAACACTATGTTCAATCCTAGTGTCCATCCTTGCAAAAAAGGTATTGAAAAATTGAGGGCTTCAGGAAAAAAGTGGTATTAAAATGACAGGGTCCAGAACAAATCTGTGATACTTCAAAGGCTCAGTATACTTGATTAACTGGAGAAAGGGTTAAGAGGTGACTTCAAAACAGTCTGTAGGTACATATTTATAAAACAGATATATTAGAATTGAAATATCTACTTTAAATCAAGACCTGTGAACAAAGCTAAACAAATGTGGACAAGAGGTGCAGTTTTATTTTTACAGGAAGAGGAATTCATCACAGGAATATCTTCCCTAGGGACATGAAAGATTCATGTCTCACTTCATGACGACAGACCTTTTTTAGAAGATATACTAACTCAAAAAAACCCTCAAAAACACAAGAACCAAAACCAAACCTACATTTCTGAATTCATTCAAGTAACACATGTCAAAGAACCTGTCTTATAAGACAGCATGTCCATCACCTGGCCTCAAAACATACTCACTTGCAGCTGCTTTTTCAAAAGCTTCCGTTTAAAGCCTTCATAAAACATGAACTGTATGGCAGGATTGAAGACCAGCAGCAAGGAGGGGAAAGTACCATTCCATAAAGCTACAACTCCTTCATCTCGTATTATCTGATGAAAGGCATCTGAGAAGAAACGTGGAAAAAAATTATTAAAATTTTGAGTACAAAATTCTGACTGCAGAAGATAAGAAAAGTTAAACTTAAAGCCTAATATTCAAAGTGTATAAAAATCCACTGCAGTCTTTTATGCAACTTTTTTTACCTTCCATTCTAATCTGGAAGTTAACAGAAAAACAGTAACAAAGATGGTTCTTGCTCACATCACCATTAAAGTAAACAAAGCTTATCATCTGCACAGACACCCTGCTCTCTTTAGTACAAGCTCAGCATCAACATTAAGGTCTTCTAAACCGTCTTCAAAACAACAATATTTATTTACTTATTTATTTTTAAAAGGAAGAGAGGCTGAACATGTGGGTGATTAAGAGATTAAGGTGAGTGAAGTTTAATTTGCAGATTGTCTGTCTAAACTCAGACTCCCAGCTACCACCTCACTGGGCTCACTACTACTCGAGCATTTATATAAGACATCTGCCTTCGCAAAAGGTATTTTAGTTACAGGTGTGCATACTACAAACTCTTAGTTATCATCAGAAATGGCTAAGTCCAGTTTCCTGTAAAACTCAATGACTGCAAAGTGATAGGGAAGCATAGAGATTCCAGGGTGAAATTGGTTACATGAATAGAAGTCTTCAAACATCAGTGTCCTTGATATATTTCATTTAATGAACTTCTCTTTGGTTGACGATAACAACGGGTGCTTACCTATTATACCTTTGTAATTGGTTGGTACAATGTCTTCATTTCTAAATTTTGCTCCCTGCAGCTTCAGACGTGTGTTCACTACCCAAAGAGGAGTAGTCAAGAGTACATTCACTACACCTAATGCAAAACAGCACAAAGAAAATCAGCAAGAACCGGAAAAAGATTTCAAATGTTTTCTTATCCCTTTCTACTGGGATTCACACGCTACTGAAATTACCGGCAGGAAGAGGGGAAAAAAAAATTAACACAGCATATGGGAAAAGTAAACTGGTAATTTGTAATGAGCTACTTCAGGTATCCCCCCACAGCCCCACCATGAATTAGTTGTCAGCAGATTGCATGCAGTGGGAAGACACTTCTGCTACTCCTCCCCAAAACTTAAACAAAACAAAAAAAAACCCCAAAAAACCCTCACACAAAAAAATCTCCCACCCCAAACAACAAAACACACCAAACAGGAGCATGTTGAAGGAATCTTAAGTGAATTTGTTACTATGCTGCATTCTACACCACACTGGAGCACAAGATACTCTACTTTTTCATGCCCTACTTCACTCCATGATGACTTGCTGCCTGCCTACTTTCAGAAAGAAACACAGAGTGATAAGGTTAGAAAGATTATTTTATAAGGAGAGATCAAAACAGATAAGTGCATGCAGCTTGATTACCAGAACAGAGCTCCTACACTGCCAAAAGAATGATGACATCTAGCTTCTAGATTCACTAAGTACACTTAAGGTGGAAAACACAGGATTCTGCAAGTATTTTAGGTAAGGCTTAGAAGTGGCAAGAGATTATACATAATAACAAACCCCAACAGTAAAGCTTGAAAGTTGAATATCAGAAATTAAGATGGGGGAAGAGAAACAGACATGCATACATAAGGCTGCAACAATGAGGTATTGCAAAATACAGTTCTAAACCAACAGGGAGAAGGATTAAGTGACATTACTTCTGCAGTCACCTGGTACAGGTCTCTCCTGCTCAGTAATGACCGAGGCAGTTACTTTGAAGTAAATATGCAAAAACAAGCTTCTGATCTTTCTTATTAATCTGCATCACAGAAATTAGCAATTGCTTCTACATCGGTTGCTTTGGTAGGAGTCTGAGTGACAGACTGAATTATTCCGTTATATTGAGATGGACACACTACATAACCATCAAGAACAGTAAATCTGAAAAAGGTGAAACTTTACTACCTACATTGTGCCTGTTTGTTCTTTTTCTTTTCCTTTAAAAGGGTTCAGAAAAGCAGAATATAAACATAACTATTTCAGTATCCTTCATAAGCACTACAGTCAGCTCTCAAAAGAAGTTTTGAGCAAAATCAAGCACTAGAAAAGGCAAGCCACATTAATCTCTCTTAACCAAAGTCAGTGTGATTACATTAAGGAGCAACAGGTTAGAGCACAGTCTACTTGTAATTTTTCACCCAGACTCAGTTAAAGGAAAAGTCATAAAACTTTATTTTCCAGACTGGAAAGGAATTTTTTTTTTTTTTAACTGTATTTTTCCAATCTGTATTTGCTACCAGTAGTAGGAATGAGAGATGGGTAGGGAGAATTAGTAAACACCTTAAGTGGAATTTTTCCATTTACACCAGATATTATTCCATTATAAAGATATAAACTACTGACATTGAAGAAGAGCTAGTCATTTAACTGACAAGCTGTTACCCTAAGTCCTATAGCCTTTGTTCCAGAATGTAATTAGATGGAATTTTACCCCAGTGATAAAGCTAGCTTAGGAATTTCCACCCTTATTTTCCCCCAACTATTCAACCATTCATTGTGACTACATTGAAAGCACAAGAAACTAGCAAAAAGTTAACAATAAGCCCTCCCCTACTCACTACACCCTCCTCCCTGTGGAGCCCAGTATATCTAGGCACTTACTGTCACTTTCAGGTGACAACCCAAAAACAAGTCTGGAAACTGACACCCAAATGCTTACATTAAAAACTCTTACTTATCATAACTGAAAATATTTCAGAATTGGCACTTATCTTTTCCTCTAAAAAAACCTATCACCTCTCCCTGCCACTTGTCTTCAACATCTAAATGATGATGCTTAGATAGCATGGTAAACAACACACCAGACACCAATAAAATACTAGACCACAGCAGCACTGTGCTTTGTGCCAGAATTCACAACAGGAACAGTTTATGCACCTGCTGATGAGGTGGGGAGGACACAGAAGAGCAATCAGAGCTGTACAACGAAGCAGGTCTGCATACAGTGGGAGGCGTAAGCACTCACTGGGACCTCCAGTGGACTTCATAAAGAAAAACATTAGACAGAATATACTAAAAATACATTTTTGATGAAATTGAGATTTTTCAGTATTACCTGCAACAACCCCAAGAACCAAGTCTTTTCCAGTGGTTGAATGCTGACCTTTGATCCAGAGAGCTTTAAGACTATTAAATGTATAAAAATAAACAAAATTGGAGCAGCAAAGGCTGGAGATAACAGGGAACCATCCTCGATATGGTGCCAACCTAACAGAGAGGAAAAAGTCATGGTAAGTATCAGCAAAGTAATTATGTGATCTGGTTGATTTTACATGTTGGTGGAGGGTCCCAGAGATACAATACTGTATACTACATACAATACTAAACTCCTGACTATACCACAAAAAAATTAAGCACTTATAAATATAAATTAATCAGGAATAATTCCATTGAAAAGGAGCTGTAGAGGTACAATAAATTTACAGTGAGAAGCTTGGGACTCAGTCACTCCAAAAGTGAGTATTACCACCATATTTGGTCTCTACCAACAGCCAGCAGTGAACTCCAAACATCCAGGGGATGAATACATGTTTGAAGTATGTAAGTTAACATACAGACTGATACAGTCCGTTCAAACCATATACTAAAACATACCAAGACACAGGAGAATTCTCATCTTTGTTGAGAAACAGAGTTGTCAGTCCAATACAAAAGATAACACCCCAGTAAAGAGATGTTCACATCTCCAAGGAAACAAAGCAATGCTTAACATAGCTGGAAAAAAATTAAAGACAACTGCTGCTTTAATACAAAATAATAAAAAAAAACCTAGAGTAAGGAAGACAAAAAATGTATGTCTGGATTCTCACATAAAATTTAAGAATGGAAGACTAGTTACTGAAATTAATAGACTCCACCAAGGAGAGTTTGCCAAAGGATGCAACCTGGGGCATGAGATATGCAGGCGAGAGGAACTTCTAATAAATGCCTCACAGTGAAGTCTAGAGCAAATCAGTCAGGTAAATGAGAAAGAGACATTAACTAGATTAATCACAGCTGAAAAAGTGAATACCCCCTTGTGATTCACAGCTGTTTTATTTTTCAGGTGTTGTAAATAACAATAATTGTTAGTGTGTCATCTAAATCTATCTTAATGATTTCCTAACAGTCAACTAACAAAGCTCCCTTCTCTGACAGGCCTGATGAGCCTGTAAAACAGTGACACCTCAACAGTTGCCCTACATCCCCAGCATGTTCTACAATACATCCAAAAAAAGACAGTAATATGCACCTTCACTGAAGCTGCACAGGACAGGTAGAGAACTGGTATCATGTTAAGAGCATAAGAAATCTCTTCAACGAACAGCAGTGATCATGGAGGCTCTTTAGTATTCATTAAAATATTGGGAATACACAGAATATAAGGATCCCCAGGAAGGAGACCATAAAAGATGCAAGGCTGGTAAATGCAGCATCTGACTGCTCTTATAATCTAAATGCTAGTTTTTCATCTTGGATGCATCAAGTGCTTCTCCCTCCCATGTAGCTGGGAATATACCACATTATTAAGACTGCTTCTGAAGTTACAGGCTTAGCTAACCATACAGTTACAATTACAAATTAATTGACTATACAGTTAGTCATGAGCAGAATTAAAACAATTTTTGCATCACCTCTCTCTTCTGTGCTGGAAAAGAAAGGGAGAAATACCCTCTGGGGACCACATCCTCTAACTGAGAGTGTTAGTTTGGTTTTGCTTGATTTATTAACAACTGATGATTTTCAAACACAACATCTTGCAGTACAAAGCATGAAACTAAGACAAAAAACATGAGTTTATTTTAATGACTTAAATTGTCAGTGCTAGCATCCATAATTCACATACAAATACTTCTGCACACAAATAAAACCTAAGTTTGTATTCCAAACTGCAACCTTGAGAAGAATGCAGCATACACCAGTGAACACCTTTCATATCACCTAGAAAAGCTAAACCTATTTGCTTTATCTAGATGAGAAAAGCAGTCTCACAAAAGTACAAGATAAAACTCTACAAAGTAATGTGAACGAGATGTTTATGATCCCACATCACATTTCAGATTTGTTGTTGTTCAGGGGTTTATTATTCCAGACACATCTCTAAAACTAGCATCATTGCTTAGCAAGGCCTTCCCAGTGCCTTTGGAAGAAACAATGTTCCCCTCTTGCCAGAATTACTGATTTTTCTGTTTCACAGGAAAAGTAGGATTACCACTTTTACAGTCTCTCCACTAAAGTTAACTTCTTAATTTTACTTTTTTGCTTCTTTTTTTTTTTTTTAAATTGAAGTTTACTTGCCACCCTCATGTGACAAAAGTAATGCAGGAATATGAACAAAAGAGATCACGAGCTGACCGAGAAGTACTCACGCATACAGCTGTCAACTGCTCAAGTTCAAAGGTGGCAAGACATTATTGGCCAAGCAAAACTTTTGTCAGCTTTAATGTCCTGGAAGCTCTGGTCTACTTAAGAGTTCCAGGGATTCACTTAGGAAAATACTTGTAACAAGGACACACGTACAACTGTTTATCCCAGCCAGCTCAGCTCAGGCTGAGTAGCAAATACTAAAGCACAGCATTGCTGAAAATTAACTGCTTTTAGATAGATCTTGAATCTCACCAGCATAAAGTCACTTGCTGTTTACTTCCATGTGCTTAGGAGGAGAAAAAACTTCCAACTGGGAAACACGTCTCAATTATCCTGTTCAAAGTGGCTCAGCTGCCCGAGAGCTTAATCTTGGTTATGAGAAATGGACACACCCAATAATCCAGGTACATGAAGGTACGTTTGCATACAAACCTGCATTTCTGAGGAAGCACAGCTACCTCACTAATGGAGGCACAGTTACATCACTGAACAGATCGATTGCATAAGGCACTCAAGAAAGTTAATCCAAATTAGCCAAAGACAAACACATAAGATTATGCAAATCATATCACACTTATATGGAGACATTTTAATTCAGAGTAAAAATCTGTCCACAGAGATACAGGCTAACTATTCCACTTTAAAAGCAAATTCAAATTAGCTTTAGAGCTTGCCTACATGAAGACAAGCAGAAAATTAGTATCTACTCACAGGCCTTCTTCTCTGATTATTTCCAATAGGACTGCTGGTGTTGTCTTAGACTTCCGCTTCTCATCAACTGGAAAACAGAAGAACCAACCTTTTAGATTATTCTGATTTTTAGCATTCATTTTCAAGTCCTTAACCTTCCTATTCTGAACATACCACAGAAAAGCATGTTTTTTCTTCCTCATTAATGATAGATGTTCCCCATTTCTGCAGCAATTCCAGAAAGCACCTTATTTTTATTTGCTAGGCAAGGCTACTTCCTTTTTTCATTCTTCCCCAGACTAGCAGGTTCTGTTGTGCACCAGAATATCTGTAGTTACCAATTCCTCACCTGAGAGTTGTGATGTGAACTGAAGACAGGTTCCCCTTAGGTAAGGGACTAGAATTGGGCCTCCCTAACTGCTCTCAAAATCGTTCCCTTGGACTCCAGACTAGCACCACTAGCAGAGCAATTTTTTACAGTTTAATCTGCAAACAGCTAAGCCTTAGCAAAACACTGTCTCTTCCCGCATTGAAAGCGGCTCAACAGTGATATGGTGATCATTTCTCAGCCACATGTTTCTGACGACCTGGCTGATGATCTCCCTCTAGTTCTTAATAGCGCTTGAGTCACAGTGCTAAAATGCTTGGTGATTCTGTGACTTTTGATTAGAAGATACGAGCATTAGAACAACAAAGTTTGTACCCAGATGCATTTCTGTAAATATTGGATGTTCCTACTCCCAGTTCTAACCCTGACTTTTCCCTTTAAACCATTCTCAGGAATAATTCTAGACTAGTTTTTCATTATACTGCCCCTGCATTTTGAAGTGTTCTCAGCAGCCAAAAGCAACAGCACACAAATGTGATCCTGTGTAATCTCACATCTTTATTTTTCTTTTTGGTCTTAGATAACCGTTCAAAAGCCATGTCTCGCCACAGACCACACAGCCTTTTCAGCTAATTAAAAGGTTGCCCAATACTTCCAAAAGGGAAAATTACCTTCAGCGGGAAAAATGGTGTTAGTAATTAAACAGTGTTAGTGTTACACAGGTAAGATTCCTGTTCATGCAAGATAGGTCCCCCTACAACCACCCTTGCAAGTGCCCAAGCCAAGCTGAACAGAAGCACCAAAGAAACTAGTTTGACACTTACCCTGAAGTCTAAGCCTAGCTGTATCCAACGGAAAAAATACAGTCATTGCAGTCATACTGCCCTGAAAAACAAAATAAACTGGCTATATAGTGTATCAGTTGCTTGCACACATGTCTGCCAGACTCCTTGTAGCCCTCCACTTCTCACCCAGAAACCAGTCTACTGAGTAAGTTTAAAAAGGGGATAACCTCCATACATAACAATGTCTGTTTGAAGTGGGTTTTGGTGCCATGCTTACAAACAAGGTTTTCTCTCTTGTATTAGATCAAGCTAAAAATTAGAAACATTAGAAGCTTTTTGTCCAAAAAGAAAGTTTTTAAAGTCTGAAAGTTGATAAAGTGGGTGTCAGGAAACACACATATTGCACTTCCTCTACCTCCTATTAGCCTCAGTACCCAATGTCCAGGTTAAAAAAAGAAGATGATGACTATGACACAAGCAACCATTGTGTTACAATAACCTTGTTTTGACTTTAATAAAAGTTTTGGTTTTTTCTTATTAAAAAACTGATAGTACAAGTTCAGGGCTTATCTAGCATTGTACTAAATTCTAATTTAGGCAATAAAGATCTGCCTACCAAGGCACCCCCTGTGGCATGAATTACATATGATGAATTAAATCATGACCTAGATGTCACCAGATTCCCTTCTTGTGAATCCAACACTCTCTTCACTTCCTGTGCGATCCAACCATTAAAGCCTCTAAATGGAAAAGCCAGCAGCCACCCTCCTTTATAACAGGGTTAAAGACTGTATTTGCAAATGCCCTTATCTTCCATACAAGCAGCTGTTCCCTCTCTGTCCCCACCATCATTCAGCTTCTTCATTCTTTAGTACCCTGGCATTAATATCGCACAGCTTTTGGAAAAGATATCTATCTCAAAAGGACCCTGGCTGGGTGTAAACCTGTTAACACTCTACAGTAGTATTAAATGCATTAAATGGCTGCTAAAGCTGTGGCACTCTTCCATTAGTTGCCATGCAAACTCTTTAAATGGTGGGAAGGCCTGGGATACAGCAAGTCACACAAGCACTGTGTTTAAAGCATCCTGCACAGTGCAACTTGAACTTTTCTGGAGCGATGTTACATTTAAGCAAGCTTTGTCTCTGGAAACACTCCAGCTCGTGAGCAGGTGGCTTGGACCTATCTCTACAAACAGCAACAAAGGATTATTTTTCAGGTGGTACTTCCTCACTAAGACAACTCTTGGCTGAAGTCTTAACAAGACTTAAGTGTCTCCAGCTTTCATAACACCGGGTAGCAGATGAAAGGAAACACTTGGCCATGATTACCTGGTTATTTTAACCCATTTAGTTTGGGCTCTAGCCCAAAGGGCTGGTTTTGCTCTCCCACATACTTGTCCTGTGTCTGCTCTTTCTAGGTACCTACTATGCATGCAGCTGAACAGCAAGCAGGATTAATGAATCCATCTGACTAAAAATTTACAAAAAATAAATTCCAGCTAGAAAGCTAGTGCCAGCACAAAAAGAAGCGCCAGAAAGAGCCAAAATGCACCTCCTAATGACAGCTGCATTACAGCACCTCTGAAGCCAACCTCAAAACACAGTTACACACACCTATGCACAGAACAGCCACAAAACTGCAGTGACTACAAGTTCCAGCCTTCCCCTGCTCAATTTATCCTTCTTCCATCCTCCCGAAGTGAGATTTATCCTGAATCCTACTCTCAATGCAATCCGCCATGCAACAACACACACACTTGCACTCAAAATCAGAAAATGGAAATAGGGAAACAGTCAGGGTAGTGGCACACAGGACAAATGGGTGGACACAAGATACAGAATAGAATATTTCAGTTAGACCTACAACAATCACCTAGTCTAGCTGCCCGATCACTTCGGGGCTGACCAAAAGTTAAAGTGTATTATTAAGGGCACTGTCCAAATGGCTCTTAAACACTGACAGGGATGGAGCATCGACTACCTCTCTAGGAAGCCTGTTCCAATGCCTGACCACCTTCTCGGCAAAGAAATGCTTCCTAATGTGAAGTCTGAATCACCCTGACACAGCTTTGAACCATTCCCACACAATGAGCCTTACAGGCTCAAACTGGCTTAAAACATATATGAAGCTATAGCTCAACAGAATGTCAAGAGATAACTCAGCTAACAGATTACTGCCAATAAAAGATAATTTGTACCCTCTCCCCTCCTTTTGCTAAATTGAAGGAAATAAACTCAGAAAAGCAGAGTTACTTTTCTCCTGGGCTTATAAATGGAACAACTCAATTACATGGTGAGGAGAGTGCCAGAAGCATCATATGGAGCAGACAGGATTTCATGGCTAGAAGTAAGGGAAAGGACAGGGATGAGCAGGAGCAGACCTTTCCCCAGCAACAAAAACCCTTGAGATGGACTCAGATCCTTACTGAATTGCACTTGAGACCAGCAGGGAAAGTAACTCATATTACTGATTCCAGGAATATATGCTGATATGTATAACCCTGTACTGCTGAAGGGGTGAGGCTTCACTGCCTGCCTTCCCACCACCTCCCAGTTGGCACTGAATCTCAGTAGCTTGCCAAGTCAAGTCATGCTACTGCTGAATAATCGCTAGGACAGGTACAAACTGGCTTAAGCAATCCTAGCTCTTGGTCAACTGTATTTGCATCCCTGCCTCCTCCATTCTGGTGGCCTAAGTTTTGGGGCACCTACATGATGATGCAGACAAGGAAACTAAGCTGGCTGAAAACTAACTTTTTCCACTGGGCTACTTCTTCAGTCAGGTCAGTTCCCTGATCAGCTGCAGCACCACATAAACAACTGTGCAGTAGCCAAGAGGTGGTAGTCAGTGGCTAGAACAAACAGCCTGAGGTGACTGCTGCCAAGAAGAGGCATGCAGGACCACAGCCTAAAGTTAGGTTTTCTAAAAAATATTAATAATAAAAAATGTAAAATATATAAAAAAATATTATATTGTCCGTCAACATTCAGAGTCAAGCAAAGCAGCTTGACTACTGCCATAATACTCCTATAAAATTCTCATTCCTACAGCTTTTGTAACAGGAAGGTTACTTTATAACTGTATGCAGAGTTAAAGAATACTTACGTAATTCAATTAAAGTCCACAGGAAATCAAGCACTGATTTTTTTTGCTGCTCACAAAACTATTCATTTGTCTCAGGTTTGACTAGGTAGCCTAGAAGATGTATGAACTTTCATCACATTAGAACAAAAATTATCATGTCGTGATCTGACATGTTCTTCTCATTACCTCAGCACAGTTCTGTGGGTTGCTTTTTCTTTTTTTTTAAATTCTTGCATCGCATCCACACATCAGTGTGCTTTATAATAATTTAAACAAATGGTGAGACAATACCAGAACAGTTAGTACCCATGCCAAACATCTTGCCAAAATTTAGATATTACTGCAGCAAACAGAAATCTCTAAATCAATGTGCACATCTTTACTATACAAAAAAAAAAAAAAAATCAAGGTTTTCAGCATAAGGCAGTAAAAAAAAAAACCACCTCATTTAAGGAAAAAATTCTTGCTCCAGGCTTTAAATTGTATATGAATACTAGTGACAGCAAGTGGAAGTCACAAGGGTACAGAATTCCAATGGCTCCAGAAAGTCCTGTCTTCCTTCATAGCAACATCACTGCTGAGATATAAGCATCTTCAAATACAATAGGGAATTTCTGTTAATTTAATTAACACCACCAAGGGACTTAAGATACTGTTTCATTACGTGTTTTAAGTTTATGGCCAGATTTATAAGGTTGGTTCATACCACAAACTTTGCTCAGGAGCACAGGCTGATTATAGTGATCTGTATATGAGAGTGAGAAGTTAACAGCGAGGGCTAGAAAGTATTACCAATTTCTGTACAAGCCAGCAAAAGGAGAGCGAGCAGTATTTCAATAACGAGATCGTTTGAGAGTTCCATTTCTTGAAAGTCCCCATTGCCTCTGATGCTTAAATAAGCAGACTTAAAACACTTTACGGAGCAGACGACAAACCCATGTTTACTTATGATAAAGACAGAACACCCTTTAGAGTCTTTTTTTCATTTCAGAATCAGCCATTATTGTTCAATAACATTTAGTGACTTTCATCCTATAGAAGACATTGCGAGATCTTTTAAGGTCTCAAATTAGAACAGGAAGTTTTGCCAGAACAGTAGATCAGCAACTGCTAAAATACACATTTAGGTGTTCTTGCCAGTCTGGAATAACCAAGGAGTAGAGCTTCATCAGCTTGCTGGTCCGACGTGCTACGCTGCGCTAAAATTCTTAATCTGTTGGAAATACAGGCTGATTTGACATCTGCAGAGCTAGTGCTCATTCATTCAAGAGCTGGGCACACTGGGAAATCTACAGAGACCAAGCACTACTTTTTAACCTACGAGCGTCCTATGAAAAATGTAATTCAATAACCTATACAAACCTCCTCTAGCTGCACCGCGCTTGCTTTGTGTTTTGGTTAACACCTCAGCGTTGCCTCACCCTTCGCAACTTCTAAGTATTTACGAAACAACCGCCGAACGCGGATGCTCAGTACAACTCGCCCCGTGAGGCAGCTGAAGCGCTCTCCCGACCTCAACTTCTGGCGGCCGTCAAGCCTTCATCGTCAGCTCGATGCCCACCGCCGG